TTCATAGTTCATCTGCAAGATGACAAATCACAGCACGTGTCATGTGGTGAAGACTGATAATACCACGATATGTGAACAAGAAAAATACATCAAAAGTTCATCAACAAAGAGTAACTCATAAAGCTCTTTTAATTGGTTCATGAAAAAAAGAGAAGCTCAATCCACAACTTGCTACAAATTGAGTTAGAAACCAAATGAAGAGGAAGTTTAAGGTGGCTAGGCATAAGACCTTTTCTGCGCCAGTGGTATCATCAATCACACAATTTTCTCTTAAACAAACCCACATTGCATCCAGATCATCAGCATTTAGCAGAAGATCTGATTGCTTCTGCAAAAATGAATCAAGAATGTGAATGAAAATTAAAGCAGATCATTGCAAACTTTTGTAATCAGTAATCAAAACAAGTACACAAGTACTTAAACGGTTGTACCTTTAGAAATCGATACTTTGCCAGCCTCTGAACCCTTTGACTGATGGATCCTTCTTCGGGTTTCTGAAATCGAGAGAAAATACAAATGGTAGAGTTAAGATACATTCTTTCATCACTGCTTATGTAAATGCATAAAATGATAATCTGTGAAACCAGTGAGAAAAAAAGCACCAAAGTGTTGAACAACTCCTTTGCATGCAGTTCTTCTTTATACCTAAGCTTCTAAAGTACCCACACAGAAAATGTTAAAACATGCCTTTTTGTAGAAACTTGGTATTGTGCCAGCTTCAGCACTTTTCTGTTGCTTCTCTTTAAAAATATCCAGCAAGATTCTCTTTGTCTCAAGCTCTACAAGAGAAAAAAGCAACACTACGTTAGAATTTTACTAAAGATTGAAAAATTCACTTCAATTTAAAGTGCAAGCATTTATTTGCCAGCAATTCAGCCAAAAAAATGTTCTGCAGGAAAATCCCATGCATCAGTGCATCCAATGCATGCATAAGCACCCTTGAAGTAGCAGCAAATTAAGATTTTTTTACAACAACGATGTAATATAATGTAACCACTATAACTCCCTTTCTCTAATAGAAGCTGGACCAGGGAAATTTCCAAAAACAATACCTAGACACAAACACCAAAATAACTAATTTCAATCACGCCACATGATTTGACCAAAGATTCAAAAGCTAAAGAAGTTGTTTCAAACCCAAATATTTTAAGCATTCTTTTCCCTACCTCATCATACTGAAAACACACTGAACTAAGCTAATTGACAGTATATAAGGTTCAT